GAATTGAAATTTGATGGCCAACGGTACGAAGTATCCTTACCATGGAGAGAAAATCATCCTGACCTTTGTGATAATTACAACCAGGCTATCAAGCGACTAGAAAGTGTAGAGAAACAACTGCTCAGAAATCCGATAAGAGCTGAAGTTTACAAGAGCTCAATCAACCAATATCATGAGAGAGGATTTGCTGAAGAAGTCAAAGATACCAAAGCACATGACAATGATATTAAGTTGGTACGATATCTGCCACATCATGCTGTTTTTCGTGATGACAAGACAACAACTAAATGTCGTGTTGTATTTGATGCCTCAGCTCGTGAAGAGGACGGTGTTTCGCTTAATGATTGTGTTTTACCTGGTCCCGCACTACAGCCTAATCTGGTCTCGGTGTTGTTACGCTTTCGTACTCATAAAATTGGACTGATGGCTGATATTGAGAAAATGTTCCTTCAGATAAAGCTTGCAGAAAAGGATCAAGATGTTCATCGCTATGTCTGGAGAGATATGCAAATAGATGCTTCCCCAACGATATACCGGATGACGCGAGTTGCGTTCGGAGTCAACTGCAGCCCATTCCTTGCAATAGCTACAGTTCAGAATCATGCGGAAAGGTTCATGTTAGAGTTTCCTGAAGCTGCAAAGAGGGTCATGGATGATATGTATGTTGATGATTGTCTGACAGGAGCCGACGACAAAGAAGAAGCTGTGAAGTTGCAAAAAGAACTGACAGAGTTCATGCATTGTGCTGCGTTTAATTTGACAAAGTGGTCCAGTAATACGGAGGACGTCCTCAGTCACGTTGAAGAGAAAGATAGAGCACGTAACATGTTGATTGATTTCCGTGAGAGAGAGCCACTTAAAGCATTGGGAATCTGCTGGAACACTTTAACGGACTGCTTCGAATTCCACATCCCGCAGAATCAGTTCCTTTTGCACGAATGCGAGACCAAGAGGAACATGCTGAGTGATGCATCCAAAATATTTGATCCGATGGGCTTACTATCCCCTTACACCATCAGATCTAAGATGCTGTTTCAACAGCTGTGGAACAGAGGTCTACAATGGGATGAACAATTGCCTGAGGACATTCTACAACAATGGAATGCCTGGAAGACTGAGTTGCCTAAGATAAAACAAAATTAGTATTCCCCTTTTGTTTTATGCAGAATGGAAAGTCTGGTACAAGTGTAGAGCTGCATGGGTTTGGAGATGCTTCACCAAAGGCGTATGGTGCTGTTGTATACGTCAGAGTAACCCAACAGAATGGTGATGTTGACACCCATCTTGTCATGTCGAAAACTAGAGTGGCCCCTGCGAAGGTCGTGTCGTTACCCAGACTTGAACTGCTTGCTGCTGTGATCAATTCGCGGTTATTGAAATTTGTTGCAGAGTCATTATCAACTTCCAAAGAAATAGAGCGCGTAGTTTGTTGGACAGACAGTGAGGTCACACTTCACTGGATTCAAGGACTTAGCTCACAATGGAAGACCTTCGTTGCTAACCGTTGCTAGACCTTCGTTGCAGAGATTCAACAGACATGGGATCCGCAGAAATGGAGGCACTGTCCAGGGGTGGAAAATCCCGCCGATTTACTGACTCGTGGAGTAACATAGAGAAATCTGAAAGACAGCGATTTGTGGTGGAAAGGTCCTTCATGGTTGTCATCCCCTGAGGAAACGTGGCCAAATCAGAAATTAAATCAAGCTTCTACACGAGATGCTCAAAAGGAAAGGAAAGCTAAACCAGTTCAAAACTTTGTTACCGTTTCAAATAAGCCAGTTATCGACCATGGGCGTTATGAACGATGGATCAAGTTAATACGAGTTACGGCGTACGTTTTGAGATTTGTAGCCAACTTGAAATTAAAGAAGCATGATTTCCCTAAAGAATTGTCAGTTGATGAAATTGCAAATGCTGAAACCTTTTTGTATCATCACATTCAGAAAGAAGCCTTTCCCGAAGAGTATGAAAGATTAGCATCAGGCAAGACGTTACAACGGAACAGTCGCATTTTAAAGCTAGATCCGTACTTTGATAAGAACAGTCATACCCTCAGAGTAGGTGGGAGGTTACAGTATTCAGACTTACCCGAAGCCACTAAACATCCAGTTATTATTCCAAACGGACACCCTCTTACAGAGAAGATCATCCAGAAAAGACACCAGGAATTACTCCATGCCGGACCTGAAATAACCTGAAGTTCAGGCCCTATCACAGAATAGGGCCTGACACAAAACCTATCTAAAGTGTGGGATTCCCGTCCACCTGGTGGACGGGAAATCTGATTGGTTGATCAGCATCATGAAGGATTTTGATCGGTTGCAAGTTCACATAAACAACAATTTTAAAAATAGCTCGGTCAAGGCGAGAATTAATATAAAGGTCAAACGCACGTAACAAATTCCATTATCGATTTCTTCGAATTTCTTTTCTTTTATGCTTTATGGAAGAAAATAAATCAAACAAACAGTATTTTGAAAGGGCTTCATCAAAATCTTTGACTAATTTTGGACACACACGACGCTGAAAGAACAGCCAAACTAGTCCTGTATTCGAAAGCTTGTTGTTGACAGCCAAGATGTTCTGCCAACTTGCTTCGCCGGCAAAAGTCTTATTTTTAATATCAGATCCTACCGGCGTTGTTTTCTGACCTACATCGCCTTCTTCGTGGCATGATTGAGAATTTAATTGTTGCTGTTATTAGCCCGTTTATAGTCGTTAGAGTATATCCGCGTCCAGCACGTTGAGACCTTGAGAAAGCTTGGCAGTCAAGCCGTGCACAGAAGTGACTAATTAAATCTTTGTTTGCTGTTCGCCTGTTCGGTTAAATAGAGAAACTGACTCTTAATTATATAAAAGTACCTTGAATTTTTAAGTTTAATTAAAAAGCAAAATGCTCTGCGGACATGTTCATGAGAATATAATTTTTTTTGTGTAACGAAATCTACAACACTTGTCAATCATATTGCATGTGTGTCTAAAAATAACATGTGGGCGTCTCACGGTCTAGACAGGTTTTGTGTCAGGCCCTATTTCAAATTAGGGCCTGAACTTCAGGTTAACGATGTACCGAAGTATTAAGCTCGACATCGACGGTTTGAAAACGTGTGAAGGGCGTTCGTGGGCGTTCGTCACTTAAATTAACTGTCTGTGCTTAAATCATTAAAAGTGCTTTTAGTTCATCCAAATGGGAATATTGTGACGCGAAACCCTACAAACGAAAAGTGGCTGGACCACAGTGACGAACGCCCTTCACACGTTTTCAAACCGTCGATGTTGAGCTTAATACTTTTATATAGTACATCATCAGAATCAGTATTTCCAATTTTACATCTATGCACGTTAATTGTTTGCAATTATCCTGTGCTATTTCCTGACGACTGGCCAGTGAGATAATCTTTTGTATCGCTGCTGAATAAGAAAAAATAGCCACGATCGATGTTCAAGATTAGATCGAGGATTAGATACTATGGCAACAATATTGAAGTCAACAAATACTACGGTTTTTCACTGACTTGGTATTGACCAATCAGGTGATCGTATTCACCGTTCAGAATCTGAACGGCGTGTAGTCATGAAAGGTGGGCTTTCCTGCAAGCCCTCAATCCTCCCCCGGAGCCCGCCAAAATCCTGCCCGCTGCAAATCAGCCCCCCCATAAATTTGAGGGCCTGCCACGCAGGCTATATTCGTGCCAAATGCGCACCTTTGGACTTGGAAGTAGTTTTAAATTAACTGAATTGTATAGACTCATTGGGCGCATGATATAAATAGTGACGATCAAAAGATATGATTTCATTTTCAACATGTACTCCATACAGTTAACACACCCGTTTGGCTAACCTGAGTATCAGGCCGTACTTTTTAGGGCACAGGCACGCCTGATCGTGGGCGAAAGGGAGAAAAGTACGGCCTGACACAAAAGTGGCATTTTGCCTGGTTGTTCAGTCCAGAATCTGGACTGAGCGCTGATTGACCGATTAGACAAACGATTTTTAAATCTGTCATTTGATTGGCTGGTGCTAATTAGATTATACTATTGTTGCTGATATATTTTATAATTATAGCCGGCCCACTAAACGGCTGAATTTAAATTAAAACTGCAGTAAAATTAGAAAATAATCGCAAATTAGCGAAATATATTGCAAATGTAGCTTATATTAAATCGCCATCAGATTGCACTATCGACTGACGTATAGTTATAAAGTATACTTAATATATATACTTTATAATTATATACGTCACTGTTTGTTGATAAATACGGCAAGCGCCATAAAAGCTCATTGTAGTCACTGAAACCTCTGCGAAGGAGAAAGCAATCGGGTGGCGATTTAATATAAGCTACATTTGCAATATATTTCGCTAATTTGTGATTATTTTTGTTAGTTTTATAAGTTCATTGCAGTTTTAATTTAAATTCAGCCGTTTAGTGGGCGCCTATGCTATAATTAGATTGTTGTTGTCGTTGAGTGAAATTTAAATTTCTCCTGCGACATTTTGATTGGATACTAAATATAAACTTTGCTGTGGGCGGAAAGCGATCAGGTTAAGTTTTGTGTCAGGCTCTATTTGTAAAATAGAGCCTGATACTCAGGTTACCGTTTGGCCTTCTCGTGTCTGGGAGCACAAAGTCAGGCAAAACTACATCTGTGAAAAAACTTTTGAGTTATGTTAATGTCATGATAGACAAACCTCAAGAAAACATTGTGTATTTTTATGCCGAGTACCAAGATACGTTTGGAGAAATTCCACTCTGCTCCGCAGAGTCTGAATTATATAGGATTTGTAGGGATAATGTAGGGATAGTAGAGGACATTTAGCCGTGCTCGACGGGATGGGGGTGAGGTCGATGGTTGAACGTAACGAAGACTCAGCCATATAATGCGCGGTTCTCGGGTATATTCTGCGGTTCTCGGGTATGGCTGAATGAAATAAGGCAAGAAAACGACTCGGAAAGCAGCGATGTGGACATTTTAGAAATTTCCCTTCACAATCTAAGTATCGAGGGTAAGTTGAATGAATTTTATAGAATATTTATGTCGCATTTGCCGGTATTGACGGCATGTTTTACATATCTGTTTTAGCGACAGTATACGTCATAGTATGATAATGATATTTTATTGAGGGAATTCATTCATCCCAAGATGCTTTTCAATGAAGCCCTCACCACAAATACAATATTATACATATATGAATATCTGTAAGAAAACTATCCTAAGTTATAATACTATTAAAAAAAGTTAAAAATATGCTAAACTTAAATGGTAAAATGTTAAGAGAGAAGTTTTCTTTTAAAAATATTAAAATTAGCTATATGCTTAATGTCATTATCTAAGTCATTCCAATCCTTCGCTGCCTGATATATAAAGCGTTGTTTTCCTCATTCTGTTTTAACTTTTGGAAGATAAAGGTTGGCATTCTGACGAGTGGAATAACTATGGCGGTTGCAGTTCTGAATCAGTATTAATTCTGTGTCCATAGTGCCACGAAGGCATTTATGAATTGCAATGCAACGATGTTGTTGACGTCTTGTATTTAGTTCTACCCAATTTAATTTCTGAAGGGCATCAGTAGCGGAGTGTGTGCGTGGTAATCCCAGTATGACCTTTGCAGCCTTGTTTTGCAAAATTTGTAAATCATCCATTTACAAATTTTGCCAGTATCATGGCTTTATTATTGTTTTTATCTCTCCCAAAATCAACAAATAAAGTTTAAAATACCATTATTGGTACATTGCCAGTAAGAATTATATAAAAGCAGCAAGGATTCACAAAGGATGGCTTAAATATACGACGGATTGATACAAAAGACGTTTTGTAGTCGGCCCATAAAATGGCCGCCAGTGTACGTTGTGGTGAGACACTTATCCTTTAATATTTAGATTGAAGATTCTAAGCAGTGCATCCTATATTAAACACTTTATATCTAGATGAAGAAGATGGATGTTATCCAATGGCAAGTACGCCCCAAATGGATGACAAGAAATAAATGAGTGTGCTCTGAAGTGTCCAAACGCCAAAGTGAACCTGGTCCAAAAAGGCTTCACATATCAACAGTTGACACAGGTTTGTTCTCAGTTAATACTGAGTAGTCTCTCTCAATGTACATATTTTTGTAGTGATATATCTAATCGATTAATAGTCTTAGACTAAATTAAATTTTGGAATTCAAGGCAGCATCTAGCACTAGTTCAAAGTACTAATAAGTTCATGAAGTTTCTCTTTCACACAATAACAGTATGACGAGAATTGGAGAATATATAATTATAAAATTATCAGTTTATTCAATGTTGTATCAGTACACTGTTGGCCAGTAATCTAGGTTCGGTATGCTTAGCTGCTCGCCCAGCACCCCCCCCCCCACCCTAGAGAAATCTTGCTGGATCCACCACTGGGCCTTTTAACAAATGAATGTATTTGAATTATTTGGATTATACAATGTTGATGCAATCTCAAAAGAATCAATTGTGATTGGCTAAGAACTACAGACAATCCTCAATGTTTATCCACCTGAAACGACATTGAAAATTGCCTGTTGGTTTTTTAATAAGACACCTGACAAGGTTTTCTTCCCTGCCATTATAATAACATCATAATTGCATAATAAAAGAATTATTGAATTTGGGTTTCGCATGATATCAAGACCGGTCAATGTTATCTGCCGAAGCCAAAGGTTGAGGTCTGGATAATTCTTGATATCATGCTCATCCTCGTCCAATATGTAATTGTTGAATGTTTTTACAATTGTATCCCATTTTTGTTTCTGCATCTTGCTCTCTCTATTTTACAAATAGAGCCTGACACAAACCTTGCTATCCACTCAAGTATATTTTTGTATAAAGTATCCAATCAAAATGTCCAGGGAGAAATGTCAATTTCATTTTAAAACAACTTGTAATCTAATTAAAGTTACAACTGCTAAATATATATATTAGTATCATATAATTAGGATTAACCAATATTAACATAGTATTATTTATATAATTAGGATTAACCAATCACAAAGATACATTAAATATGGTCTGATATAGTTGTGCTAGAAATAGCCAGTCAGATCTACATCCAATATTTTGCACCTATATAATATGTCAGTTTGGATAACTCCTGTTTTTTTTTTAAATTTCTGTAGATATACCTAATGAATCAATTCAAACAGATGCCTTTGTTTTGGCAGCCATTTGGGACCACAACAATGAACAATGGTATCTTTTCTGGATACAAGAGCTTCAATAGCATCAAATTGTCCTAGTCTAAACTTTCGATGTCCAAATACATTTTTTAAAATTTCTAGACTTGTTATATTATTTGAAAAGCTTTGGTTTGCAGCACCGTCTATTGAAATTCTTTCTGGAGTTGTAGGCAATGTTCCACTTTCAACAGTTTCTCAGCGACTTTTGGTAGCAACAGTAATGGCATCATTGGAACAATTTATATCATTGCCAAACGACACTTTGTATTCTGTGTACATTAGTTCATGGTAGATTGACACATCATCCATGGAATTATTCTGTAGAATAATTAAGATATTTGTATGTTACCATGCTACTATAGTTTAACCTGGCAATTATAATGATAAATCTAATTAATTATTGTTATTTGTTGTTTTAAAATTTCCAAAGTGAAAGTTTTGAACTCATTTATTGGGTCGTTCCAGAAAAGATCCACACTCCCCGGTGGGGGAGGGGAGACAAAATTGTTTCTGATAATAGTAAATGTATTAGGACATCCAAAGGGGTAGGAGGGTGGGGGGGGGGTTAACTTCCAATTTCCTCTGTGGGGGTGGTATGGATGTTTTCTGGAATGACCCATTAGCTTTGCCATGATACAGTAAGTACATCAAATAAACAGATAGACAGACATATAAAGTACAAGTGGCAGGGTTACCGCAACAGAAATTATACTCCCAATAACTTCTGGCCACCTTTGATAATATAAGCTACCAGAGTTAGTGCATGTAGACATATTCACACAAACATTGCAAACCCTGGGTGATATAAATGGCCATTTATTATGCCACCAAGAAGGCTACCTTGCAACAACTCAACAACTAGGTTCATCCAAGAGTTACAAATTATAAAAAGTACACACTGTTTCAAATCTGTTCCAAATCAAATGTATATACACTGGGGACACAGCAATGAATGCATACTTTATGGTACATATATTTTGTATTTTTATTCAATCAAAAATACTATATTTAATATTTACATACCGTCTCTAATAGCAGATTCGACAATTGTTTCATTACGTGCAGCGTTTCACCACAGTTAATTCACCCAGAGTGCATATGCTGTCATTGAATTTCAAGGAGCGATGTTTATTTATATAAACTTTGAAACGTTTCTTCGGTCCAACATCGTCAAAAAACTTTACTTCCTCGTTGTTCTCAATGCACTTTGAACAAATCAATTCACCGCAAACTTTTGCATCCTGAAACGGCCTATTTGTCCCATGAATAATTCAGGAGTAATTTTAAAATATTCTTATGTCTGTAATTGGATGCCATTTTGGAAACATTATATGGCAGAGCCTTACGTAGCTTCCGTCTTCCCACCATACCTAGCGCGTTTAACTAACAATTACGTAATTTGTTTCCCAAGTAATATTACGTAATTTACTAAAAATTCGTAAGGCTCTGTGGAGAAATTCAAATAGTATTAATCCCGAAACACGCAATTTATATGTCATTGATGATTTCATGGGTGAGAAGGACGGAGTTATTTCAAAATTATTCACGAAAAAATCACATCATGGTAACCTGAGTGTGATCTACATTGTACAAAATTTATTTCATCATAGCAAAGAACACCGTACAATTTCTCTCAACGCAAGTTATTTATGTTTAACGAAAAACGTGTGAGACGCAAGTCAAATTATTCATCTCGCTAAACAACTGTATCCCAGTAACACCAAATTTTTTCAACAAGCCTATCAACTGGCAACCAAAGATCCCTATTCTTATCTATTTATCGACCTAACTCCTACGTGTCCCGACGAGATACGAATTCTATCCGGGATCTTTCCAACCGATACGCATCATGTCTATCAACCCAGAGTATAAGAAAGTGGGAACGTGTGTAAAATGTTCATTTGATCATGTCTGCTTGTATGAAGAGGAACTCCGAACTTCTGAATGTGTTGGCCAAGTGTAAACCTGAACTGAGAAAAGCTATTTTGAAAGGGGCTGTGCCAGCCTCACGGCTGTTTAGACTGGTTGTGGGGCCTCGAGTTTCAACGCGTTTCAAATAATTCTTAATTTATTTTCAATCAATAACGAACGGTGCTAAATACAAACACAAATATACAGGAATTATACGGATAAATACGAATTACTGAATACTGGACAGAAACTGACATAAATACTGACAATCTACTTACAAATATCTATGACAGGACACTGGTATATCGCTCAGCTACTTCAATCTAAAAAGGGCCCGAAAAACCCGGAAGTCCGTCAGCCGGAAGTCGCGGCTGTTACATGGCTCCCCAAAATGTCAACTTTGTTCATTTTCTAAATATTAACTAAATATCTTTTAAAGGTCACATAGAAATGTCAACTAAAGTTTATTGCTCCTTGGCGGGGACGTTCCTTTCGGTCTCTACTTGCTCCACCATTTCTAACAACACTGTCAACTTATGAATTGGACGTTCGAAGCTGCTCAAGCTATTCTTTCTTCTTCCGTTCTTATCTAGGTTGCTTGTTGCCTTCTGAATCTCAACTTTTCGAACTAGACCATCATCATTGGGGTAAGTTTTGGTGACTTTCGCTAATGGCCACTGATTTCGCGGAAGGTCTTCGTCTTTGTCGATAACAATATCACCAACCTGAAGGTTTCGTTTAGGGCATTGCCATTTCTTTCTGATTTGCAAGTTTTGGAGGTATTCGCGTCTCCATCTCTGCCAAAATTGATTTGCTAAGAATTGCACACGCTTCCATCTTCTACGACTGTAGACATCGGGTCGACTGAACTGTCCCGGTGGTGGCAGTACAACTTTAGATTTCAGCGTAAGTAGTTGCATTGGTGTTATTGGTTCTGGACTGTCGGGGTCGTAGACATCTGCCGTTAATGGGCGGGAGTTAACAATATTCTCTGCGCCTCTGTGAAGAGCGTGCGTAGAGTCTCGTCGTCGAGTTGGTCGCCGAGTTCAGTCATAAGAGCGGAGATGACTGATCTGACTGTTCTGATCTGTCGTTCCCACACACACCTCCCATATGAGAAGCGTGAGGAACATTCATGATCCAATCGCAGTTCTTCGTCAGAAGGAATTGATGGACGTGGTCTTGGTTCATCTTATTCCATGCTTGGGTCAGCTCTCCTTTCGCCCCGATAAAGTTCGTTCCTCAATCCGATCTAAGCTGGCGAACGTTTCCTCGTCTACACATGAACCGTCTTAAAGCACAAATAAAACTGTCTGTGTCCATAGTGTTTAATGTTTCAAGGTGAATGGCCCTTGAAGCCATACAGGTGAAGATAACGCCGTATCTTTTTACACTTTTTCTACCTTCTCTGA